AGGAAGCACTCCCTCCCGTTCAGTTTGACTGGAGCAGCAGTGGACTGACCAACCCTTTGGACGGTAGGTGGCGCTGCCTCCAATGTGATCTTTTCCACTGTGAATGGCTGCTCTTACATTTTCATCACGTCTCCTCTTTCTCTGACTTTTTAACCCGAATCGCTGGCCTCACCAGGTTCTTCTCTCTTGAACCTGGATTTCTTTGGTTCTGACGATGAGTTCACCTGTTCCTCCACTCTACCAGGTCAGCCGTTCACTGACTCCTCACTCCCTACACTAACCCCGACCCCTTCCTCTGTTACTATCCTGAACTAATAATCCAGTGTGTGGATTATTAGCTGTCATGAAATCACACAAATGATAAACTAACTGACGTCTCTTGCTGATTGATATTTGATTGACAATGATGGTATCAGTGTCTCAGTGTTGAATGAAGTTTTTTTTTTTCCTGTGTCGTCAGCAATGTTGATGATAAAAAATGAGAAGTTGATAAGTAAAACATTTACATTACATTTATGCATTTATCAGGTGCTTTTATCCTAAGCGATTTACAAGAGGAGGATTAACACTCAAGCATGTGGTTCCTCTGGGAATCGAACCCAGGATGCTCTCTGCTTCTGAGCCGGGCATGCTAACCGCTAGAACTATGGAACCAGTAACCAAAAGTTAATGAAAAAAAGCTTAGCTAATGTAGATAAACCCCAAGCCAGTTAGTCTGAAAATGATGTCATGGATCAAATATAACTGAAGATCAATTGATGTGTGAGGTTTAACAAATAAAAAGTTAATGAAAAAAAGCTTAGCTAACGTAGATAAACCCCAACCGAGTTAGTCTGAAAATTATGTCATGGCTCAAATATAACTGAAGATCAATTGACATTTGAGGTTTAACAAATATTGTTGACACTTGACAATTAAAAAAAGCTGAATGTTAGACCACAGTTATAGCCACAATCTAATGTTTGAACAAAAACCCTGATATTTTGGAAAACCATATTTTTAAATGGTCTGTGATGAAAGGGGGAAAAATATGAGACAAAGGTAAAAAAAAAAAAAAGACCCAGATGGTACAAAGGCCAGAAGAACTCAAATTTGTCCGTGTACCACGGCTGATATTTTCATTGCAGGGGTCGACCCAGAACTCTATGAACTGACGACCTCCAAACTGGACACCAACACTTCCTCTGGCAGCCGTGTGGCCGATGCCTTTGCTCGCCTCATGTCCACCATGGAGAAGACCAGTACATCCACCAGGTCAGAGATTATTAGACACACACTGGCATACACACATGCAGCTGTGCTCATGATTGTTTTGTTTTTTTGTGTGTGTCTGTCGTGGATAGAAAGCCAAGAAAAGAAGAGAATCTGAGCGAGGAGGCGGAGAAGGTCATCTCTGCTCTCCCAGATCTTTCCTTCATGCAGGCCAAGGTGCTGATGTTTCCCTCCACGCTGACTCCGCTCAACTGCCGGGACTGACACAGACCACGCCCCCTCCTGGTCCCACCCACAGAGCAATTCTTTTTACGAAGAGCCCGTCATACCTGTCGTTTTTATTTCCAACTTTTTCCTTTCTCTCCAGTTAAAGCAAAGCATTTAGTATTGGTGGGAGGAGCTGTGCTGATGCCCCGCCCCCTGATCAGCTGACAGAAAGTGCTGCAGAATCACAGTGTTGTAAATAATCAGGGATTAAATGTTAGGGGTTTTTTTTTTAGTCCGGGGATGATTTTATGTGTGAAAGGATCGTATAGAAAATATAAATATACATTTGTAAGCATATATAAAATGGAAACATATCTATATATTTATGACTGAAGCCACACTGCCTGCTGAGTCAGCTCTTTTTAATGCTCTGTGTCTGTCAGTGGAGCCCCGTCCTTCCTCAGTTCTCGTCACACCAGGAAACTTTATCAAACATCGTGTGGGCAGAGCTTCTGATAAAAGGAACTTTTTTTTTTTTTCTTTTCCTTTTTTTTTTTTTTAATGAAAAAATACCACTAAACCACAGCGAAGGTGCAGTTGACGCATAAGAATGAAACAAGGGACCAATCGTGCGCTGGCTCCGCCTCCTCTTGAAGTCGATTTTTGTTGTTGTTGCGTCAATACTACTGTCAGCCCGTCTCCATGATGACGAGACGTTTGCACACTGGAAAGATGAAATGGATGTTAACACAGTTCCCTGTGTTGCTATGGAAACGCTGAGTCATGTGCACGCGTCTGGTTCTTTCCACGCACTGGGAGCGTGCACATTTGATTTTTAGTGAAAGAGGAATTAAAATTAATTTAAGCAAAAAGGCTGTTTGTTTTCATGTGTGATGTAAACGGAGCGTGATGTCATCAGACAGTCGAGGTATTGGCTTTTGGTTGTAGATGATTGGTTTATGAATTTCACCAGGTCACAGGGTGCTGATGCTGATGTGAGTAGTTGTTAATGGTCCAAACCTGACCTACCGATGGTAACAAGTGGACGGACATGGACGTGGTCGCTCGCTGCTCCTTGTCCCTGTCAGTAACTGAAGATGAAGCGCAGCAACTGAAGAATATTGTTCATTGTGTAAAGCTTGTTCACTCTTCATTCAGTCACCATGTCTTTCCTTTAAAATTAAAAAAAGAAATGTGGCAGTGGTGGTTAAGGAAGGTTTCAGGTTCGAGTCCACCAGCTGCCCTGTTACCACTGAGGTGCTCTGAGCTGCCCCCCCCTCCCCCCCTCTGCTCTCATTGGTGATGGGTTAAAAGCAGAGGTCACATTTGGTTGTGTGTACAGTGGTGTGCTGTGTCACAATGACATGTAGTTTACTTTCCCTGTCACTCTAACCTGTTAATGCCAAGAATTCCAGCATAATCAGACTAATCAAGTTCAGTAGCAACCCCACCCCCAGCCCCGGCCCTGACCCCACACCCAGCCCCGGCCCTCTGCCCCAGTGCTGATTCATCAAGTATGAAAAAACTCATTTGCAGGATTTCAGGGTCTCAGGTTCAGGTCTGTGACTGTTATATTAAGGTGCACAGTATAGAATTCAATATTTGTAAAATGTTTTGCTGAGCAGACTGCTCTATGAGCGCCACCTGTTGTCTTTGACGGTTTGAGACATGCTTTTCATTTATGTGGATTTTGTGGCTCAGAAGAATTGAAGTCTTGGTTCTTGTTCATCCACTAGGCCTGATGTACTGACGACGTGTGCCCCGACTCCAGTCGTTCTGAGCTCAAGTATTTTTTAGCAAAAGACTAAAAATTGGAACTTTAGAAAATCATTTTAAGCCTAACCCAGCACTGACTTACCCTTTGAACGTGAGACTAATGTGTCTCAAGGTCTGACTTGAAACCTCACGACCTTCACTTCAGTTGTAAGAAGCTCAAGTAGCATTTTGTTTTTCAGTAACACTGATTCTGACTTGACTTTTGCAGATTCAACTGGTTTGAAACTGGTTTTCCGTGACTTGAAATGTATGCATACATTCAAATATTTATATTCAAATTCTTCTGTGCTTCAGAAAACATGAAATGTTATGACCTGGAACATTTGAAGAATGTTGAAAAAAAGACAGCAGAACAACTGTTATCAAACATCTCCTTCATTGGTTTAATAGTAGACATTCTTGCCACAAAGAAAAAAAACATTTTCATGTCACGTACGGAGGAAACTGATGTCTGCCGTTTCCGTCACATCCGTGTAGAAATATATACAGTTTATAGGTGGCACTGTGATCGAGAAACAGGACGTCTCATGAATGCAGCACACGGTTACAGATAACAGACAGAAAAACAGAGAACTACAGGAATGTTAAAATACCGGGGCAGGGACACATCTGGACCCCATTTTGTGAGGATTCTGGGTCGTCGTGGTATGGAGCGGTGCTGAGGAGGAACCTTGGTGGGAAAAGGTGTCTGTGTGAAATGTTCGGTTTGTCTTGGTTTAAGCGTGTGCTACATTCTGAGGTGCCTGGACGTTCTGCGATGCAAAAACTTGGTCATTTAACAGATGGACTTAATTTTTCCATTATTGTTTTTAAACATAAAACATTAATTTTTTTAATCATTTATTTCTTGTAAAAGTGTAGAAAGAGAAAAAGCCCGAGCATGGTGTTGGAATTACTGTGGAGACAGTGAGCAGGAATCTGAACATTTACATACCCATCTATCCCCCCTCCCTCTCCCCCGTGGAGCATCTTAACATGGAGACCGGTTGTAGACTCGGTTGTGGGCTCGTTTAAAGTCGTGGTGCTTTGCTTTGTCGTTGTTTCTTTTTTTTTTGCAGCACCTCAGCAGCAGCCTCCAGATGAAGTGTTGACAGGCTTGCTCTGGATTTTGACGTTGGACTTCTCGGAGGACCCAGCTGTTGCCCCCGGGCCCATCCTCTTCTTAATCTCAGCTGCCATGGTCATGAAGGCCTGCTCCACATTAGTGGCACTCTTGGCGCTTGTCTCCAGGAAAGGGATTCCCAAGTTGTCTGCAAATTCCTGCAAAAACGAGTAAGAAATTATGGAGAGCAGGTGTTAAAGAGGAGACTAACTTGACTAGAACCTGGCTAGATCCAATGTTAGCAGCAGTTTTGTTTTGTTACCTTAGCTGTAGTGTAATCCACCACTTTCTTGGTGGTGAGGTCACACTTGTTGCCTACTAGCAGCTTGTTGACGTTCTCGCTGGCATAGCGGTCAATCTCCTGTAACCACTGTTTGACATTGTTGAACGATTCCTTTAGAAGAAACACAACAAAGTCAGTCATACATTTAGAATGTGCTCAAACTAGGTGTAGGTCCACTGAGGCCACTTCTCACTGACGTTGTGGAGCTCATTTGACACCAGTTAATTTTATAATTGACATCTCGTCCTCCAGTTCCTCTGTCAAATGATGAAACATCAAACTTGTTCCAAGAAGACCAAGTGCCCCACTCTTTAAGAAAAAGACTTTTCTGTGCAGAACAGCGTCACCATGACTGGATGGTGTCGTTTACCAAACACAATCCATGGAGGCAGAGGATGATGCTGCTGCTAATTATTATTATTTCATTAGAAGATCAAAGAGCATTCCACATCATGATGCACCATATGACTGGTGATGACTCCAACTCTTTTCCAGTCATCACTAAAAGAGCACGAGCTTGACGCCTGCTGTGGCAGTCCTCCAGACTTTGGCCAAAGAAGACCATTACCTTGTCACCAGGATCCCCCTTGGCACCTACAGCACTACAAACACTGGTGTGCCAAATACTACAGATGGCTGACTGACTGACTGTCAGACCAACACCCATCAGGGCTGTGTGTTCCAGGACCAGGACTGACCTGATCTGTCACGTCATAAACCACGATGATGCCATGAGCACCTCTGTAGTAACTGGATGTGATGGTGCGGAACCGTTCCTGTCCGGCTGTGTCCCACTGTGGAGACAAAGCAGATTCTGTCCCACATGCACACAAATACAGAAGCACAGTGCCGTTCCTCTAAGATGTCCTTACAATCTGAAGCTTTATGGTCTTTCCGTCTAGTTCAATGGTCCTGATCTTGAAGTCCACCCCGATGGTGCTGATGTAGCTCTCTGTGTATGTGTCATCCTGAGATAAAAGTTCACACAGGTGAGTGTGCGAGGTAGGTACAACATTGTTACACCACACTCTGTTACATAACACACACACACTTACTGCAAAACGGAGGAGGAGACAGGATTTCCCGACACCAGAGTCACCGATCAGCAGCAGTTTGAATAAATAGTCACTGAAAGGGCACAAAAAAAACATGTCAAGAACAGAACCACATGGATCTTTTTTGCTGACTAATGCCACAAGAGTTCAACACTTTTGACCTATCTTTTTTATGACACCTCCAACAACTTCAGGTACACTTGTAATTTAGAGATGTGTGTCATCTGGAGGAGGGGTCACTTGACTACTTCTAAACTCTTTAAACCTCTAACTGTAGCTGTATTTTCCTGCATCTTGACATTTTTATATAAAGTAATCCTAAATACAATGCTAAGGGCGCTGCTTTGTGTTTTAATCCTGCTTTTCTTCCTTCCAAAACTATATGGACATTATGGAAAATATTATTTATTCAGCGTCGTCCTTGTTTCCTCTCACGTATTATCTTTACTTCTTTGACACATCCTGGGATTGTCTTATTTCCCTTCCTATCTGCCTGTTATCAACAACATCCATCTCTTTTTCTCACACATTTAATGTATCTCCAAATTGGTCAACCTCAGTTATCCCTAAGGATTTCTACTTCTGTCTATCCTGTTCACTCCCTATACATTTACAGCCTTCTCAACTCTGCACTTCAGGGTCCTATGATTTAGAGGTTGCCATATTTTGTGAACATGAAAATTGCTTTTAATATTCAGCCATACCATCATGGAGACATGGCACCATTACATGCTTAGTCATCCCAGCAAAACTAGTTTTTAATTTTAGTTAAACTGCAAGCTGACCTGAGAAAGGTGGGATGGACAGGGGGTCGTTGCACAGAAGTCAATTATTTTGTCATTTGTATTTGCAGTGGTTTTATAATCAATTATTAACAATCATTCTATTGGTTTCTCACCCTTTAGCCACACTTTACCTTTACGGCTATCTTAAAGTGTAAGTGTAGTTTCCCTGCCCTGTGGAGTGGAGGCTGGGTGATTTGGAAATGCCCCTCTATGCTGCGGAATTTAAATCCTAAGCCAAAATGGGCTTATCAGCTGCAGCCCCCACAGCTGTTAGCCTGGTAAATACTCTACCATTAGTCAGTAGATTACCTAGAAAGAAACCCTCCAATAGTTTTACGTTTATGTTGTTTTTTTGCACTGAGCAGATGGTTAGTTAAAGCATTAGCCACCAGCAGCCAATGCTTGACTTTACTTATGTTATTCACTATGGTAATGTGCATTCATGCATGAATAAGGACTAATGTGTCACACACATTACACATGGGGAAGGGGAACATTATTGTAACTATTAACGGTTTGGTTAGGAAGACAAAGACAAAGACTCAAGTCATACAAAGATTAAGCCAATCAGAGCATCTGACCCCCAATGTATAACTTCACACTCAGAGCTACATTTATATCAAAATCATGTCTGTCACTGATACGTAGTTAATAAGAGAAGCATGACTGTCTTTTTACCTTACGTATCTGTTTAGATTCTTGAGAATTTAGTTTTAAAATATCCGAATACAACTCGGTTTTTTTTAAACCATATGGATTCTTGAGAATTTAGTTTTAAAATATACGAATACAACTCGGTTGGTTTTTTTTAAACCATATAACCTACTGCTACTGTTTTTAACAAAAGAAATGCTGGGTATTCGAGGAAAAAACCGAATATGTTTATGACTCGTTTTCAGAACTTTCTTGAACAAATGTTAGCATTGTGAAATAAGGGAGTGTGTTGACACCGGAGCTGCCTCAGCGGCCTTGCCGAAAGTCAGTACTATCTTTAAGTGCGTTTACTATTCGACTGTATGATTTTTAACATCATTGTGATCCTAAAGAAATTCTTCGCTCTCCTAGATCGGAACTAACTTCCTGTTAGCTGCGAATCAACGATATGAACGCCGTCAAAGCTCCGGCTTACAGCAGCTGTGAACCCTGCTCCACTGCGCAGTTAGCATGAATCTTCTAAGCTAACTCATCCAGGGGGGCTACCGTCTGTATGTCCGACTACATCCGCGACATATTCCAACTTCCTGCAGCTTGGTTCTCTCTATAGTTCACGAAAAAAAGACGTGGAAATATGACATAACCGCTGTCAGTCGAGTGACAGGGCGAATAGGGCAACGCATATTAAGCACTAGACACTTGACGCTCGGTTTACCGGTCCGTCTGAAGAGCTAACGCTAGCCTAACTTAGCTTATCGTAGCCCAGCCGAGCTGACAGCTCAGCGGGAGCTGTCAGCTCACACACCGACACTGACACTTACTACTCGGGATTCATGGTGAAGAGGCCGCAGGTGAGTCTGTTTTGTCAGAGCGGATCAGATGAGTCTTTCTGCGGCTGAAGCTTCAATCCGCCTCGAACCGGAGGATGAAAAAAAACAGAAAACACCGTTTTACTTGAGAACTGGTTGAACTGGTTGTCGCAGCCACAACAGCATAATCGAATCAAATATGGCTGCCAGTGACGGCCTACCCGGAAATACCAGGTCGCATAGGATCATGGGAAATGTAGTGTAAGTAATTTATTTATTCAACCATTTTCCCTTGATCAAACCACAGCTTGATAGATATTTTTTGCTCCAGCCCTCATACCGAGCATGTTGACAAATTTGCAATAAAGTCACTTGGTAAACTAACTAGGTAAACCAACTTTAAAATGTACAAAGTTATTTCCTATAGTGCCAATTAAACGCAATGACAGTCATCGGTAGCCTTATGACAAAGGCTCACAAACATTAGAAGAGAGGAAATGGGTGTAAAAATGTAAGTGCATTTCAATGAACCTTCAGCTGTCAATTACAAATTCACAAAACATTTAAGTCAGAAATGACACTATACTGTATTGTTGTTTCTCCCTCCAAATATAGTCCATGCCTTATATTGAGAAACGGTACGAGAGGGAATGGATGCATAGCTTACGGTTAAGAAAACAATGGCTCATTTGTAAGCCTTAAGAAACACCGCGTGATGAACGTCACTGTCATGTGATCACGTGGTGAGCACTGGCCCGATCAGCTGACCGGCGTCTTCCGTGTTGTGTCTGTTTTTTGTATTGGGCTGAAGTTCCTCTCGCGTTCACGCAGGTATAGTCCCTAATTCACGCGTACGTTTTTAAATGTGTAGTTTTTCTCCCCGTTTGACAATGAATGGGTTAGTTCGCACTTAGACGTCAAGGTTATCCCGGTTCAACACACGTCATGGCTGCGTCACAGCTACGTGAAAAAGTTCCGTTCTGCTAGCTGTTAACGTTAGCACTAGCTACTGTTCTAGTAAAACAGAAGTGACATGGACGTCTTTTGACGTTTAGGCTCTGTTTAAGACTGTTAAGTTAGATTTCTATGACTTTATTTCCAAATAAACTGTGGATTGGTGTCAGTCGCATAAACTAAACGTTTTGTTGTGTTTCTTTTAGCCGATAAACAGACTCCACCTGTTTAGTGGTAACGAAGTTATTCTTATCAGATGTTCCCGGCACTTTAAACACAGTTCCTACGAGTTTTAAATGTCCAACTGTGTCTGTACTTCATTGGAGTCATTGTTTTAATTGGGTTTTTATTCAAAGTTCATATGTTGTCAGTACATCTTACAAGACAGACCTCAGTCTAACTCAGTTCTTTTGTTTCTGCATACAAAGTAAGATATTTCTTACTGCAGATAAGTGCAGATATTTCTTCTGAATACAAGCCCTTAGGAAATTCTTATGGTTTTGTTGTCATCTGTTTTAATCCGTGACCTGTCCTTTACACTCTACTGTTTTTTTGTTTTAGAAACAACCTGGACTTTAAACGTCCTGCTGTGATTTTGCTGTTTCATTTTCAGGTATGAACCGATCTGACAGTGACGAGGACTCGTACAACGAGAGGACAGCGCTGGTGTCATCAGAGAATCCTCCACTGCCGTTCTACAGACCAGATCATGACTCCACTCCTTCGGATTATTCGCCAACCAGAAGGACAAAGGTTCATGCTTTATACACTTTATCCATTCTAACAGCCTGTATTAGCTGCAGCAGCTTTTAGTTGTCAATGACCCTGAATGTCACATTCTGTTGGTGCAGCCCGGGGCGAGCAGGACGGTACAGGTGCAGTGACTGATGGCGAAACGAGCCAAACTCCAGAGTTGGAGCCAGATGATGAAGAACTGACACTTAAATATGGTGCCAAACACGTAATCATGCTGTTTGTTCCGGTCACACTCTGCATGGTGGTGGTGGTCACCACCATCAAGTCCATCAGTTTCTACACTGAGAAGACTGACCAGCAGCTGTAGGTCCACAACTCCAGCCTACTTGTATGACATCCCCTCTGCTGCTAGCACGGCTAACACCGCTAACAACTGTGTTTATTTTTCACAGAATCTACACACCGTTCACAGAAAACACAACATCCGTGGGCCGTCGCCTCCTCAACTCTGTTCTCAACACCATCATTATGATCAGTGTCATTGTTGTCATGACCATCTTCCTGGTCTTACTCTACAAGTATCGCTGCTACAAGGTGAGGGAAACGTTGAACCATGTTCCAAATCGTTCTTTCTGTTACAGAAAGTTTTCCAAGACATGTTGATAATGTTAAGAGATATGTTGTTGGATATGGAAATCTGATTCAGAAATCCCCCCCCACCCCTTTTTTTGTTTGTGTGTAGTTCATCCATGGGTGGCTCATTTTATCATCCCTCATGCTCCTCTTCTGGTTCAGCTTCATGTACCTCAGGTGAATGATATTTAAACGTAGGTCAAACGATTTTGCTTTTGTCGAAATGTTTTGTTAAAAAAAACACTGAATATCTTGTCTTCCGTGTTTCAGGGAAGTTTTTAAGACCTACAACGTTGCAATGGACTACCCAACTGTGGCTCTGCTCATCTGGAACTTTGGGGCAGTGGGCATGATCAGTATTCACTGGAAGGGACCCCTGCCCCTGCAGCAGGCCTACCTTATCCTGGTCAGTGCCCTCATGGCACTTGTCTTCATCAAATACCTGCCAGAGTGGTCAGCCTGGGTCATTCTGGGAGCCATTTCCATCTATGGTAAGAGGAAGAGCCTCTCTTTACAAGAAACCTATTTGTAATAATTTAATAATTTGATCTGAAGAATCATCCACACTCTTCTTAAAAGTTATCTTAGCATTAGTTGTAAAAAAACAGTTGTTCCCACCATGCCTCACTCACGCTGTTTGATTGCAGACCTGGTGGCTGTCCTATGTCCAAAAGGTCCACTAAGGATGTTAGTGGAGACGGCGCAGGAACGCAACGAGCCAATCTTTCCTGCACTCATTTATTCTTGTGAGTCAGCAAAACTCCCATACATGTGAGGAAAAAAACATTTGATGTTTTCTTTTTAAAAAAAATGCCTCTGCTTCGGAGGAAAAAAACATTTGATGTTTTCTTTGAAAAAAATGCCTTTGCTCATGTTGTTAGCTGCCATGATGTGGACGGTCGGGATGGCGAGTCCAGGAGAGGCTCAACACTCCCCACATGAATCAGGTCAAACACTTCAGTGACAGTACACCTTCACAACCTGTACACCACATTGGTGAAAACATTTCAACTTGTATATTGTGCATATGTGAAGTTACAATATGGTAGTGTATTGTATTACAGACGAGGAGGCGGAGCAAAGTGTCAGGAGGGAGGAGCCTGAAAGCAGACAACCAATGGGAGTTTCAGAAGAAGAGGAAGACAGTGAGTAAAAAATCTATGATCTAAAAATATCAGTTGGCGCAGTCATACACAGCATTTCCAACTTACTGATATGTCAACCATGTTCATAATTTGTTGATATAAATGTCTGTGTCCGTAGGGGGAGTGAAGCTCGGACTCGGAGATTTTATCTTCTACAGTGTTTTGGTTGGAAAAGCTGCAGCCACTGGTGGAGACTGGAACACAACGCTTGCCTGTTTCATTGCCATCCTTATCGTAAGTTGTGTCGTTTCGTTCTTTACGCGTAGATTTTGTTGATGAATTTGCCTTCCTAAAGCCTTTTGTACATTGTGAACCACAGTTGGAGAATCGTCAGACCATTAATTACCCAACATATTCCTTTGTGTCACTCCTGTGGTCATGTGACTCTCCTCTCCTAGGGCCTGTGTCTCACTTTACTGCTATTGGCCATCTTTAAAAAGGCATTGCCTGCGTTGCCCATTTCCATCACCTTCGGCCTCATCTTCTACTTTTCAACTGACTTCCTGGTTCAACCATTCATGGACAACCTGGCCGCACACCAGTTCTACATCTGACCCAGAGCCCCGGCTTACCTCGCCTCATTCAGGAAGTGTTTTAAGAGGTTGAGGGAGCTTTGAGCGGCTCACCTGCCGAGTGACAATTTTAATTTCTGCTGCTCAAAAAATTTTATTAAATGCAGTTTTTGTACAAAAGAAAACAATATTTGTAAATTTTCTATTTCAGTGGAGGGAGGCAGGATTACAAGTCCAACACCATTTCCAGGAAAAGTTAACACGTTACAAAAATGACTATAGTTTATAACCCAGTAATGTACTTCAACCGTATCAGGCAGAAAGATGAGGAAAAGAGTTGTGTTTTCACAAACAAACTCAATTTTATTTGTTGCTCAAAAAGACATTTAGAAGTTAACTGTGCCAAACTTTTTTTAAAGACTTTAATATATTACCAGTCCATTGGTCAACATTGTCAGATTGCCATCTTTAAGTCGTTCAAGACTTTCAAAGAGAGAGATTCCAGTTGTAATGTTCTGAACAAAGTCCGGCATTGTCCTGCTGAGAAATTAATTCCCATCTGACCTCAAAACTCATCTGTTTATACTTTGGTTGTTTTTGCCTAAAATCAGGGCATGGTTACCTCTGTGTATAAGGCAGTACTGGGCTGAATTATACTGTGCTGTTCATTGCTATAAACAAGCGTGCAGCATGCTGTTGTGTAATGCCTTCACTGTGAAGGTGAGGCGTTTTCAGCAGTGGTCCACCCAACAAAGGTTTCTCTCATTTGCCTTAAGCTCTTCACAAAATATATTGCGACATTCCTGAATCTGGACAATTTTCCAATGTAATTCAGTACAAAATACAGAGCCACACCTCATATTTGCTAATACAGACGGAGCTGTTGGTGGATGTTTTCTTTTCTACACACTGTAATGTGATGCCAGTTAACCTACAAGTACAAGATCCTCCCAGGATGTTACTTTGAAAAGACTTCTTTCACTCTTGTTTTGCACCAGTCCACACTTCACAGGAGTGTGTTGCAGACATCAGCTGTTAAACAGATTCAAGCTGAGCATAAATACACACGCTTTTTATTGTCCTTCTGCCTGTTCAATAAAGGTTAAAAGGAATAAACACAATCTTATTATTTACTTTTTAGGATGTACTGGAAATGGGTTTGGAAAATGAATGACAAAACTAGCTCCATTAGCTCAAAATGATTAAATAACGTCCACGTAGATGTATGAAAGAGATCGTCAAGGTTTACTTTTTAGGTGTGGTTTTAGGAGGTATGATCTGCAGTCTGGCCGCTCCCTGCTGTTGCTCAGTGTCAAACACAACCACATTTTGTGTGATGATCTTTGTGATGTTTTGCTTAAGGGCATTTTACGTACAAACCTAATTGTAGTTTATTTATAGCTGTAGTTTGCAGCCAGGTGCTGAATGGGACCAGGGTTTTAGATGTTAAACAGTTTCACAATAAAACAAGTGTTTTAAGTAATGTAATAAAATGTATAAACTTATTTTAGCTTCTTGTTTTTCCTATTGTCTTAAATGTCCAGTAAAAAAACATAGCTTACGGCTTTTACTTCTGAAGTTTCAAAGTAAAAGCACACAATCTGGTGCTTTATCTGGAATAACATTTCATCATCTGACATTTTGAATGATCTAAAACAAAGGTGGTTGGTGTTTTCAGTGGTTTACTGGTTTTAGTGTTTTTAGAGAAGACCAAAGCCTCAGAAATTTGTCATAAAGCCAAAACATTTTAGTGTACATATTTTTTACAGAATTAATGCCCAGATATAGATACTTGGCTTCACGTCCACATGTTTATTATAATCAACTTAAAAAAAGAAAAACAACAGACACACATTTTAGCTTCTTTCTTCAAACTGGTTCTTGTTCTTCAGCAGAAATGCTGCTAGATACTCGATGGGGTTGGGTGGTCTGAAACAGAACCAAGAACAACAGTAACATCAATGCTAAATGACCGATACTCTCCTTTAAAAAAAAACAAAAAAACAGGACACAAACAATAGCTGAAACGAACCAAGAACAACAGTAACATCAATGCCAAATGACAGATACTCTCCTTTAAAAAAAAAAACAAAAAAAACAGGACACAAACAATAGCCGAAATTGTGTAAACAGGATTACAATATTTGGATTCAAAACTCTATGATAACCTTGGTGTTTGTTTAATATTTTATTCTTGAACGTACTTCATCATAGCTTAAACATGAATCATTTACTGACCTTTCCTTGGCAAGCACTGACAGGCCCTGCAGCAGGATGGGAACCACCGTCTGATCTAGGTAAGCCCTGGTTGGCAGTGCCTGAAGCTCCACTTTCTGTTTGGAAATTTTCTCCGCACTTGCCTTCTCATTCTCCACTGTCCTCTACAGGGGACCACATAAAAAAAGAATGCTGAGTGTGTTCACTTCTAATTAATCAGTGTCTGCACGTGGCGAGTGTTACCTGGATGTTTTCTGTCAGCCCGTACTCTGTGTGAGGATTTTCCTGCAGAAAAATCGAAACAAAACTGATCATTAAAGATAGCCCTTTTGCTAAGCTACTTCAATATTGTCCTTCAGCCAGCACTTTGAGTATGCTTGACTTTCTATTTTTGATACTCAGTGCTAATATTAAACAAGATAAACTGATATCTTGGTGCTGTGCCAAGTCAACAAGTTGTACTGCCTTCAGTCTATGCTAATCTATATTTTAAACTGGAGACACAATAACAACGAATTGGTGTGTGTTTCTCACTGGTGTGTTTGTCTCCATCGATTGATCTGCATCTGTGTGATCTGTAAAAACAAAAACAAAAAAAAACAAGGAGAAAATGTGAGCTGTTTAAACAATCGGATCGTTGACCTCTGCAACAAATCTGCATTTACATTGTCACTGCACACATACAGTATATATACATTTGCTTTTTTGAATATTTTCCACTATCCTTTACCTGTATAGTGTCTTTATATTATCTGGACGCAAACTCTTTTATTCACACATTCTTTGTCCCACAATTGTTCAAACACTCTCAACATTTTATCTCATATTGTCTTTCTAGCCAGTTCCGGTAAAACACTCTCAACATTTTATCTCATATTTAGTATCTAGTCAGTTCCGGTAAAAAACAAACAAACACGGCTGGCTTCATCAACAAGTTCACAAGCTGTGCTTATCGTGCGTCCCCTCCAGTTGATATCGAAATGGCGAGAAAGGTGAGTACTTTACAATCCAACACTATTACTTTGAACTTAGAAACAGCGTGCTCAGGTCTTTACCTGAAGATTACCCAAAATAATGTCATGATTTTGAAGTAAATAGTAAAATTACAGACTGTAAACCGGGTTGGTTTGACTAACACAAAGCAGGACAGTGGTCCGTTGTTCGTTTAGTCCAGTGAAAATGAATTCAACGCAAGCCTTTTTTTATTTTAAAATGAAACAAGTACATACAAAAACTGTAGGAATGGAAAGAAACTCAGAAGAATGTACCGAACGAATCTGTTTTCATTCAACTCACCCCCGGCTTTAAAAACGGCGCTAAATTAGCTTAGCATCATATTAACGGATTGTGGCCGATAAATAATAAATATTGCGCTTTCAAAAATACCCCCGCATTTGCAATGATTTGAACTATGTACCTAAAGCCTGGAAACCCGACAAAGTGTTAGAATTACAACTACACAACAGAAAAATTCTATCAATGATGAAGAATGAACTCACCGTCCGCCATGTTTGTTATGGAAGTTTCCGGGGATACGTCGAAACGATTCCGCTTGCAGTACACGTACAAAAAGATACGCTGTGGTACGTAAGCCTAGTCGCCATATTGCGATTGGCAAATGAGAAAAACAAACGAATGTCGTCAGGTGGACATATTTTTATTTTATGAAGGTAACACACTTTTACACGACTTAACTCACCATAGTACCTCGTGTTTATTTTATTATCTGTTTTATGTCTCGTTTCTATTAATTCAGATTCTGACCTGAATCCTTCATATTTAAATATTTTTTACCAATTTTAAGAACTCAACTATGGTGATATCCAGCACCAGAAGCATTATTAAAAATATATTTTCAGTAATTGTTTTGTGCTAGTAACAGACAGAAAAAACGTAATTATGCATTATGGTATTGTAATTAATATTTACTATTTAATATGAGTCAAGTCATAATATAATTCATCTGCAAGAGACCCTTAAAAACTAAAATACAATAGCTGCTCAACAAAAATGACCACCTCGTCTGTGTAACATTATTCCAATAAAGATGGACAGGAAACAGAACCCAGGGACACTTACTGTATTTTGTAGAAAATGTAGAACATTTGGCAAGAACTGGTAAAATGCAGCCCAATTTAAATAAATGTTTTAACAGGTTTTAGTAAGTTATGGATCTTAAAACAATAGACAATAGTGAAAGAGAAGGGAACGTTCTGAATCGCTCTGCTTTGTCTACATTAAGATCACAGGATAAAAGGGATCAGAGCTTTCCTGGAGCGAGGGTAGTCATCAAACCTCCTCAGGTAGTCTCTGTTGGTCAGAAGGACAGTGGACACCATGGACTATTGGCAGAACATGACTTATCATATTAGTAAGGTACTTGTGACTCAGCAGATTATAGACCTACCTGTGGTGGTGATATGCTCTGGGCCCAATGGAGCAAAGAGTGAAGAATGTGAAGGCAAATCCCGGAAAGTTCCATACTGCTATGGCGTAACCACACCACTCCACTATCTCACCAAAAAAGTTTGCACCGGACACATACTCAAACAAACCCCCTTAGAAAAACATAAGGAAATCCAGTTGATGAAAACAACACTGGTTTGAATTTGGTTGTGGTGTTAACTGTATTTAAATAATAAAAAAATCAGGAGCTGGTGTAAAGCAGTTTGGAGTCAAATTCAGTTTGGAGTCAAATTCATTATACTCCAGAATCGACCAGAATACTCGAGAATTATAGACCAGAATCCTTACACCATGAGTGTAAACAGATTTGTGTGAGTAAATGAATGAAATGTGGTTAATCAGGAGATGCTGTGGAACATATTCTGGTGTAAATTTAGAATTTAGTTTCTTAGAATTTAATTCTGTAAATTATGTTATGGATCATGTAAATCTTCTGTGGATTCCACATGTGGATCAAAGATGTCTCTTAAACAAAGAGCTCCTCACCCCATGGAATCTTGTAGACAATCTCGTTGGGTTTTCGCAGGTTGCGCAGGATATTGTCGTGGTAGATATTGATGCCCATGCCAACAAAAAACAGGAAGTAACCTAAAGATTAACAGGAAACCTCATGAGATGAGCGGGTCTCAAGTCAGTGACACTGAGCTAGAGGAGGATGTGAGCGTGACGGCGTTGGCCTTACCTGCTGCCAGGCGGACATTACTCAGCCAGGTGTTCTGGATATGGAAACAGTGCAGGAGGGCGTGGCCCTGGAGAGCCCCATTCACAGAGCAGAAGACAAAGGCCTGTGCAATGATATAGAAGGGCACGGGTCGACCCCGGGTCCGGAAGGCATAGATGAAACTCCTGAAAAAACAGACAGGAGACATTATGAGACATTATGTTTGAGGTTGTGTCAAATTGAACTTTGGAGAATTCATAGGTCATAGAGAATGTTTTTAAAAAAGACTTGATTTTGAATTCTAGTAATAAATGTTTGCTGCCAAAAATTACATGGAAGTGATTAGTTTGTGGCGCTGTAGAAGCCTCAGTGAAAACAGATCAAACTGCTCACACTGAAACAACTGCCATCTGGATGGGCAGGACTGAATGATCTCAGTTCTCTTACTTATGTTCCACTTTTGTTGTGTTTTTTTATTTAAACATGATATTAGACCCACTACTTCGCTGACCCAGCATGCAAATGGACAGTGATAGCTTGGTGCTTAAGGAAGCTGATTTGTGTCTGGAAGGTTTCAAACCACCAGCCCCCATGTTCCACTGAGGTTAAAGGCAGAGGTTGTTGCATATTGTTGTGTGCAGTGGAGTGCTGTGTCAGTAACTCACTTTGACTTTAAATGTAGCTGTTGTTGGATAATTTGGAATGACCAGTAGGATGTTTGGAGAGTTTGGGGAGAAGTGGAAATACTGGTCATTCCATCTTACACACGTGATCTCATCTTCACCCTGATTACTATCATAAGCTTTTCATTGTTGCAGGGTCAGTGAATGCAGCACAGCGCTGCCACTGTTTCCACCAACTGAGGCATTTTAACATAAGTTGTTTGCTAAAAGATAAAAATTTAGGGTTTCCACTTTTGTATTTTGTCTTTTGTAGATTTTTGGTGTGTAGGACATTCAAGTGACAGTACCATAAAAAGAAGACTACTGGGACCACTTCTTTGTTGGGCACTAATGTTTTGATGGTATCATTTACAAATGTGAAGCCATCACTAGCAGCAGAGAACATGCACCAGAGGTTGTTTACGCCTTTAGCTAAAAGGTTAACTGACCTTTGAAAGTAATGCAGCATGAAGGTGCTGAGCAGCAGCGTCCTACCACTGATGATCCTGGGCTCTAGTGCCTCTTTTGGGGGTAGCAACAGTATCATCAGCAGTGGCAGCAGAAAAGAAGGAACCTCTTGAAGAAACCAGCCCACTCTGGCTGAACAACTGCGTACCCCAGTGGTTATGTAGCGTCCGTACTCCGAGTGAGTCTGTGTCTGCCGCCACAGGTAGAGGACACTTCCGATCATCAGAGACCAGCTCAAGTAGGAAACGGGACCCTCCAAACAGTCCATTGTTGAATCTGATGGTTACTGCTAGTTCACCGCTAATAAACACTAATAACTAGTGGTCAGGGTCAGTTGCTGTTTATCATCACTGATGCTGGTAACTGCAGGATGGTGTCGAATATTGTCAAAGTCAGAATTGATCAGCCACAGTGGAATACTGATGAAGAGAAAGAGACACACAAATGTATTTAAGAAAAGGAAAAAGAAATACTAACATAGATTAAAGAAATATATCTTAACCATAAAAACAGTAACAGATATTGACAACAGAACATCTGTCATTAACCTGTCTCTGCAGTGTAACTGTATTTACTGTAGTTATAGCTGTACTTCACTGTATCAACACATTAAAGTACATTCAACATATATGTATATATGTATATACTATATATATATAAAGAGAGAGAGAATGAAAAACTCGAATCTGTAACTGTCATCACATTAGACAACAGGAATAAAAGTGTTGAAAAAGAGTAAATATTTAATGACAATATGAATATAATATTATAGTTAATATAATTAAAGTTAATATAAATTTCACGTAAACGGATTGAGACACTGACAGTTGGAAAACGTGACTTTTTGACGTGTTAACTTCTCGTCCACTGCGTGGGCGACATTAGCTTATTCAGCGCTAAGAAACGTGCGTTTTACCGAATCGCTTGTATCATAACAATCACAATCCCAGTCAATATTGCTTCTGTTTTCGTCCGAGATGCTAAAATATCTGCAAAGTGCATTCCCATGATGGCAATTTTTAAACACTTTATCAGTGTTTAACTTTATCTTGAACTTTATCAGATTTGCAAACTCGTAGTAGAATACACGGTAAACTTTTCTGATGCGTTAATTCTACAAATTATTACATATTCATGAGAAATACTTACTTTTTCCCCCCAGGGCTACACTGATATTATGAACTGGAATAAGCGTTTTACACGCATGCGCAGTAGACAGCATCGGGGACTAGAAATCTAATAGAACACCTTCCGGGTGTATGCATATAATTTTTGCAAATGTTAGTTGTTGTTTTTTTTATTTAAAGATTTGTTCAGTGGCGCTTTGGCCCAGAGACAGTGTCTCTATCATTGCCCAGGAGGTGAACCCCAAGGTTCACCTCCTGGGCAAGTTCGAATCCCGATTAGGGCGGTGGGTACCTTCCAGTGGACTCACCACCCGCAATAAGGTTTGGGGGTGGCGACTTCTGCCCCCGCGACCCGGTAACGGATAAGCGGATGGAAATGGATGGATTTGTTCATCTATGACGAAATTACCATTTAACCAATCAACACAATTGAATGTGAACAGAAAATAAATACAATTAACGAAATAATACCTACAAGTATTCGAAACTAACAAAAGGAAAAAAAGCCAGAAAATTGTTTGTACATTACCCGCCGTAGTTGCCACCCAAACTCGAGGAACAGAGGGCGCAAAAAAAGAGGAAATATTTATAGATGCCAGGGGGCGTGTCCCTCAAACTGGTTTAACTCGGACTTAAACACACGTACGATTGTTTACAGTAGACACAGGCTCCTCCTCTACGGTGTTAAAACATTGAACCATGTGATCAAAATACATGCTGAACATGTTAATTATCAGACATCAACACTGAAACATTCTGTTCACTTTGTGCAGTGGAAGGAGACGGCTGTGAACACGTGACTACACAAAACACTGGACGTCTGGTTGCAGGTGAGACATAAACCTTTATTTCCCAGAATCAAACAAACCGTTTACATGGAAAAATCAAATAAATAATAACATAAATATATCCCATAAAAAAAAAACTGGGACTGACTCGACCACACCACCTGTTTGGGTTGTTGGCTAATTCTCTAAGGTCTCTAAGGACAGAACTCCAGTCTGACAGATGAAATGCCAACAAAGAAATATTTATTAATATATATTCCACAAACCTTTGGTTACCTAACTAGTTAGTGAAGAATAAGCAATAAACCTTGAAAAAAAAATAGAGACCCTATATGAACAGAAATAAATGAATTGTAGAACCGCTTGTTAACATGTACAGCTAACACGCTAATGTGCAATTACACTAAACTGTTTAAGGTGTTAAACCTTTTTAAAGTGCAAGTTTTACATAGTGGGAGGAATGTAGTGCGTGGCTGAGTGGTGTGGAGGGGGGGCAGCAATGTAAGCGACCACATGAGGGGGGTTGGGGGCCGGACAGTAAACTCTCGCACCGTGGCCTCCGGTTTGGGGAACCCCCCAGTGGGTGGAAGGAGGAAGGCAGTGGTAGGAGTGGTGGGCTAGGGGTACGGGGTGAGCAGCAGAGGGAAGGTATGTTGCCATGGGTGAAGCTTCATAAGGAAGGTGAAGCATGGAAGGAGGAGGAAGGGGTGTTTGTTCTGGATAGACGACAGATGGGGTGGAACCTGTCGGAGCAGAAGGAGTACTACCATCAATGGAGGAAGCAGTGCCTGTGTAGGGCAGAGCAGAGAGGAGGCCAACATGATCCTGGTATCATCATATTATCATGGCTTAACACACATTGGTGGAGAGTCTCAATATACTGTAGGCAAGTATTTTTTTAACAAATTTATAATTTAAAAAAAAAAAACAAAAAAAGTTGAAATGGATTTCTCAGAATAAAAGTTAAAAACGTCTTACCACTGCCGTGTCCATCGACCTGCCCATCACTTGGCCTGGAAGATTCTGGATAGGTGGAGGATGAAGGTGGAGGCTGATGCAAATTTCGACTGGCTTCAGCATATGGGGGTGAAACAGCTGCAGACAGAGGACCGTGAGTGTTCTACTCCCGACACCTTCCACTGACATTATAACAGAATAATCAGTGATGAAACGGTGCTCTCACCATGCATCTCCTGGCTCATGTAGGGGTTGTACTGCTGGAAGGTGTAGGGAGTGTCAGGTGACAAGGAGCTGTAAACCTGCTGCTGCTGCTGTTGCTGCTGCTGTTGCTGCCAACAGCTGTGATGACACCACTGCAGGGGAGACAGATGTTAGACGAAGGCTGCATGTGCTGTGTGTTTCTGGGAACCGCTCGTGAATGTGCGTTACCTGGACACCCAAGTTGAAGTAATACTGAAGAACTCTGCAGTCTGAGCATACACAGAGACACGGTCACAGTGGTTAACATGTGAAGTCAGTCTGGATTTTGCAATATTACATGTCAAGGTCAATGACCTCTGACCTCTTGGCAGATCGTTGCCATTAGGGTCATAGGAGTAGGGCGGTGGAGTCATCATAGAACACACAGGTTCGCCAAGTTCATTCGCCAACCAGGGAGTGGTGGTGGGGATTGCCATGGCAACTGGATGAAAAACAGATTGTGTACTGAGTGTTGCTTTTATATAGATGTATAGATAGAGGTGGCTGTGTATATACCTGAGCGTGTTTGGGTGTGTGCACTTGCAGCTGATGGAACATGTGACGATGGTGATGATGGTGAGGATGAAGAAGAGGAGGGTGAAGAGCCAATGGCCGCTAATGGCTTCACTACCTGAAAGACAGAAACACACGTGAGGTGTGAGGAAGTAGGATATGAGTAAATGATGTCTCATACTGTTCAGCATCCCTGACATAAACGTGTACTCCTGTGCCAGTTGTATTTGTACATTACGTTTTGTGTTTGTTTACCTGCTGACTGTAGTTGTAATTCAGGTCTTGTCTATGTGGAGACTCAGTTGTTTCTTCTTCCTGTTCATCCTTTAACCACATGAGTGAAAGCGTGAGTGACTTACTTTAAGTGAATGTTATCCTGCAGGGCAAAGGTCATGGGTTACCTGGTTTTTGCAAGACTCGGCAGGAGTTGTATAAACACTCTGATCTGAAACAAAATAAGTAATACATTTTAAAAATGAATAAATGGAAGCCAAATCAGAAAGGGACAACGAGGGACAGTGAGACATCAACCCTGACACATGTAGATTAAGTCCCAGTTGAGACAGACCGTCTGTCTGTGCAGCAACACTGTAGATTATATAAAACAGATGGAGACAAGTGGAAATACAATAAGATGGAGAAAGAAGGAGACACCGACCCTGAGCAGTGTAGATTAAGTCATCTGTGAACCCAGCTGTGGAAGACAGTGTGATAAAGGAGAGGATAGATGGACAGACAATGGAACACTGACCCTGAGCACTGTAGATGAAGTCTTCTGTAAACTCAGCTGAAAAAAAAAAATTACTTATCGAACTATCCAAGTTTTGTCTATTGTGACTCTACTGGCTTTATGCAAACTGTTAAATCTGTTCTTGTTCTTGTTAAGCCAACAAACCAAATACACAGCATACCTTTACTTCCTATTTATAATTATTAAAAGTCAATGGAGAAAATCTGAAGCACCTTCTCAACAACTTTCATGATCTGGATTGGGGTAATTTATGAATTTTGGACAATGATCTTATACGGGATAGTAAGGGGTCGTTTCAGAGGTCAGCTACCTGCCTGTGACCCAGGTACACAGGCAGTGGTATGGTGGTGAATAAACCTCACCCTGGTCCTCTGCTGTGCTCGTGTCCTCCTGCTCTTCCTCTGATGAACAGACGGGGGTGTTTCCAGGTGGTGGTATAGACGGGAGGGTCCCTGAATTTCTTTGAACACGATAAGAGGAACCTGGTGGAGGAGGAGGTGTCACCAAGGTTGGGGGCGGGGGCACAGCTGAGCCCTGTGGAAGAGGAAAATGGACACAGGTTTTTTTTTTTTTTTTTTTTTTTTTAAATAGTTCCATTAGACATAAGACAACACTTCCCTCCACAACCTTTGAGCACGCAACTAAATTATACTTTCAATATCCTATCCTTTAAAAACATGTTTACCTGTGATTCATGCTGAAGCCACAAGAAACCAGAGTTCACACTTTTTTTTTTAATTTGCTACCTTCGAACACCTCTAGCTTCTTAAGCTAATGCCACTGTTTGATTTCCCTGTAGTCAAACATCCTCTCACCGGAAGAGGCGGAAAGACGCCATTACTGGTGTCATCCAGCTGGTAGTAGGCGATAGCTGTGTCCAGATCTGGTGGGTCCTCGCCCGTCTCTGGTGGGAAACCAAACTGACAGTCTTTATTGAGGGGCGCCATCAGCTGTCTGCGGCTCCGCCTGCACAAGACACAGCAGCCTGCGGTAGGTGTATGATCTTTGTTACATCTACTCTACTGGTGCGTTTGATCCACAAGACGACACTAACGATTACAAGAACGTTTTTACAATAATTGTTTTTTGTGTTTTGAGAATAGAATTGTTTGAGTGGAAATGGAATTTTGTTTTTACAATAATTGTTTTTTGTGTTTAGTGGAAATGGAATTAAAAGAGAGTGTGTGTTTGAAAACTGCAAGTTATACAGGGACACCATCTGCTGTGATAGGTTCAATTCTAAATCTGGCCCTGCGACCTTTGTTATTCTTCTACATCCTGTTAACTTGATCAAAATGACTCCCTTTTGGCTTTAGCCATGTGGTTTGATGGTAATGTAACGATGATAAAACGACCAAACGTAACAACATTTTCACAGTGTGATGATACTGATGACGTAATGACCATGTCAGTTTACCGGGACCTGAAGGCGTAGTTTTCGTAGTCCTGTAAGTATCTTCTTCCAGGGTGGTAGTAGGTCAGCTGAGGACCAATCAGGTGGCGGTTCAGGAATCGAGTTGAACTTCTGACAGTAACCCAAAACATGGACAGAAAAATCTCACACATACTGATTTTAAAACAAAATAACCAACTAACTATATTGCTAACAATATCGTCATGTAATCAGGACCTTTAGTGTTACTTTAATCTTATGTCTGAGGTCAGGTGACTTTATCAGATATCTCAGTGAACATATCAAGATCTGGTTGTAGCTGTGTGGGTGTGGAAGCCTTTGTTATTCAGCAGCTACGGCACGTCAGTTATTTATTCTTTGTTGCTGTAACTTTACCTAACATTTGTGTAGTTTTACCTTGCAGGCGAGACAGAAGGCTGTCAGTTAATCATACATGTTTGTCACATGACCATGCTCACCTGGACGCTCCATAGCGAGGAGCTCTGGCTGCAGGAACATGGTTGTGGGGGGGGGCATAAGGGTCATAGGCTAACGCTCCAGCTGAAGGAGGAGGTGGCGGCCGAGGGTGACCCGTGGGTTGAAAGCGAGGGGGCAGGGGAGAGGAGGTGGGTGCTCCGTACGAAGAGGGGGGTGGCATTAAAAGTTCCACCCCCTTTACCCCACTGTTGCCCCGTGACTTCCTAAAGTAACGATTGCGATGATTGCGCTGACGAGGGTCAGAGTCTGAGGGAAAAAATAAAGGGACAAAGGTCAAGGAGGACAACGAAGTAAAAATGTCCTGCAGTGGAGGATGATGAACAACTTCTACCTAATTCTCCTTTTCTTGGGGGAGCAGAGACATTCCAAGCAGGGACAGGATTGACTGGTTTCAGGTCAGTCAGAGGCACCAGGTGTCTGAGCAAAGACATAACAGCAGGTCAGCTATGACATCACAGCACGCCATCACGGGTTAATGTAGAGATCTTAAGTCTGACTTCTCTCCCAGCTCCTCGATGAAGACTGTGACAGCAGATGGGTGAGTTCCCACTTCCTGAATGAAGGCGTTGTAATATTTTCCCTTTGGCTCCAGACGCACCTGAAACAACGCAGCTTTTATGTTCAAACGCACTTGGATGTCAACCAAGGTTCACGTTGGCACTGAGCTGTGGGTTTCTCACCTGACATTTGTCTCCTAGGAAGTACTGTCTTCCTGCAAACACCATGTAGTCGGTCTTCTGCATCTCTGCACAAACAATACGTTGATTACTAAACAACTCAGGTACTGAGAAATCTGATTAGATAGACTGATAGAGAGCTCTTTATGAATTTCTCAAGAGTTCCTTTTGGGAAATTTGGGAATTTCCACACACAGAGGCGAACGTTTGAATTCCCTCCCACACCACTGTCGTGTGATTTGTAGATATTATATTGCTTCATCCTGTATCACCATCAGATCAGGAGTAATCCCATTACCTTTGCAGGTGTCCTGCCACACGTCAAACTCCAGGTTCCTGTACACGTCTGGATCCAGAGACTTGATGACTTTATACGGCAGAGACAGTTTGGTGGGGAGCACAGCTTCTGAGGGCTGGACCACAGAGACACGTTGTTAGCTGATCAGTCCACTGACACGGACCAACAGGTATGTAAACTACACCAAGCTCCCTGACCTTCAGGTCATCCACCACAGCTCTGAGTTTGTCCTCCACCATCCCACCTGAGCCTGCTTCCTCCCTGTAACGTACGTCCAGCCGTGTACACGTTAGCACATACACTCTGGATCTGTGCTAATGTGTGCACTGTTTCCTTGAGTTTGTGTCAGTTTTGGCCGTGTGTACCTTTGACCTCTGTCCTCAGGAGTGTCGTAGCTAAAGTCAACTTCACTGCTTATAGATACATTGTTTCTATAGCATCGTCCACCCATGCGGGCACTCTCCATGGCCTGATAAAGCTCCGCCTCCTCCACGTTGAACACCTGTGTGTAGATCACCTCATACAACAGAGCTGAGTGTACACACACACACACACACACACACAGACATAAACGAATGAGCTGAACTAAGTATTCACTGGGGTCGAGATGATTAACGTGTTAATTATTAACATTTGTGAGGCGTAGTACAAAACAGTGATGTGAATTTTAAGTTATGAAAATGAAAATGTTGTTAGAAATTGTGGGTCATGAAATGTTTCAGTCTCTGCTGATTTAGATCATCCAGAAGAGATTGGCATGGAGAAATAACAGACGAACATTTTAACAGAATTGAGCTAAACGGACAAACTGAAAACCAGGCTCCAAGACTGACAAATCTGGAGAAACATGACTGATTTACAGAGGCGAGTGTTGTGGGAGACATTTAGTGAAATGAAAAAGTTGGGCAAAAACACAGAACTGTCTGTTAAAGAACAAATAATAATAATAATAATAATAATTCTCCACATCATGTTGAAACACCACAGGTTATGGTAGGTGACTTACCCTGACAAACGGCAGCAGAAGCGGGGTAGTTCTTCAGGTAAACAATGTCATAGTGGCCATTGATGGAGCAACACAGCATCACCTGGGTAACGAGAAGTTAGTCAACCACGGCCAATCAGACGACAGCACAGAAGGGGGTCTCCTGTCTCTCACCTTGTCCACAAAGTCTTCCTCTGAGATGACCGTGGCTGGTTTACCGGGGTAACGATAGATGTGAAAACTCCGTCTACACACACACACACACACACAGTTACTAAACTATGGTGGTGTCAAGATCGTAGTTGCAGTTACCTTCTGCCTCTTACCTGTACAGCTGAGACAGGGCCTTGATTTCCACCTGTCCAACCGTCTCCTAAACAGAAAACAGAGTCAAATGTGTCACTGTATCGTACATTAACTTAATGTCTCTGTGGTTACTTTATCTTTCATCAGGGTCTTCACCCAGTTTTCTTTGATAAACTCAAACACATTATATATTGTCACTTCATCTTCTGTCATTTGTAACTGTGATGTTGCGTCATCATTTATGTTGCAGCAGCATACCTTAGGATCCTCCAGGCGCTCCAGATATTTCTCAAATGAACCTTCAACAAACTGAAATAAAACAAAAAAAAAAGGTGAAGAACATGAGAGCTGGGAGTCAACAAAACGTCTGAAAGGTCCTCAGAGGTCACCACCAACAGGAAACTCACCGGCTCAAAATGACATTTGTTCGTCCGCATGAAGTCAGCGCAGTCCTGACGGATCCTCTGATGGTAGTTCTGAGAGAAGTACATCTACACACACACACACACACACACACACGTCATTATTTCCTCAGTCCTTCTCCACTTCTGTCCTTTTGTTTCCTATCTCTTTGTCACTGATGGACACATTGTCTAACTTTGTCTTGTTTTGGCTTTTAACTTTTGATACTTTTTTTAAAAAAAAAAATCACATCTTTTTTTAGTCCTCAATAATCCAATCACATTACTTGTCTTTCTCTGCTGCCTTTTTGTTCCTTTGTTTGTTGTTAGTTACTTTGTCACTTTTATTCCCGTCTGTCCTTTTTCCTTTACCTTAAGAAATTTTGTGTTCTATTTTCGGCCCAGTCTGAAGTCACTCTTTCGTCTCTCTATTCTCTTTTTGTTTTTGTTTTGTCACCGTGTTTTTCAACCAATTGGTCTCCAGTCACTTCTGTTTATTTTAAATACGCGGAAAAGTCATGGTATTGAAAGTATTAAACAAACTTCTAGACCTTGGGCTTCATCAAGGCCTAGTGCATGGACAACGGTGATTAGTTGGTGACAGCCGTTGGTGTCTCACCTGCTCAGACACCGCTCTGAAGAGACTAGACGCGTCCCTGGCCACCATCTTCCTGTACAGTCCCAGACTGGACAGGTAGTCGTCCATGTTGACAAAGTATTTCTTCAGTCCTTTCTGCATCTTCAGACACACACGCCCGCACGCACACCCACGCGCACAACCACAACAAACAAACAGACAAACGAAACAGCCAAACAGCTGTGCACACCTGTCCGTGAACTGCAGCCGTTACCGCGACCGCTGTGCACGTGCATCTAATCAGCGTTAATGAGCGCGCGCGGCTGACGCGTTCAAGGAACCAACGGTGTTTGTGTTGTTGTGACGCTTTTTTTTACTACTTTTAAAACACTACAACAGTGTAAAAGTTTAACTCTCTTATTCAAAAATACAGCCAGTCTTCGACAACAACTGTAAATGGATGTGACGAAGACGTCACAGTTAATTTTGGATAAAATTACTTTTTATTGTGTCATTGATTTAGTTAATATAACTCTTTATTTGTTGACCTTGGCTTCACATCCTTAACATATCAGAATAATGGAGTTGCTAAACAGTCACTGCCCTTTTACCCTAGGAACCAGCTTTAAACGTTGAATATTTCAAGTTCCTACACATAGCTAACTCTCACGTTTGATGCATTCACGATCCACTGTTTTCTGTGGCTTATATTTGTATAACATTTGAGTCAGTACCAGGATTTGAAATTGTCCTAACTTTTTTTTATTTTTCAATTGTGAACATTTTTTATTTAGATTATTTGGGGTAAAACATAAAAATGTAAAAAATGCTAATGCACAACACTTTGAAATTTGTATTTATTAATACTATTGGCAAGTAATACAGTATATTTTAAACATAAAATAAATAAAGAATCTATAGTGTGACGCCATCCCCTGATTTAACAGGAGCAGTTAGAGACGTTGAAGACTAATTAATTAGTCTTCATGACTACACACATTCATGACGAAAAATGTCTGTTTTCTTTCTCTGGTGATATATTTGCAATGCATTCATTACTGTTTTTGAATGAATGTTCATTTCAATATTTATCACGTGCTTTCATTTTGTAAAAAACAAAACAAAAAATACAGTATATTTGCATAATTTGTGACACCAACTACAATGTAAAAAGTTATTACTCAAATAAATAAATAAAACGCATATCATTGGACACGTATCTTTTAACACAGTTAAAACAAAATCGTTTTTAGCCAATATTAAATCCGTTTTAATTTGAATAGTTACTTAGATATTAGACCAACGTTTTTTCACAGTTAAATCAGTCAGCGCGGCACAGAGCGCCAACTGCGCAGAATCCATGAGAAACGGAACCCGGAAGTAAATCCGGAAGTTAGGGCACTAACTCCGGCAGGTCTAAACGGGAGGCGTGTGTGTGTTATATTATTTTTTAAACCACATGTTTCTGCCTAAGTTTGACCACATTTAAGTTCCTAATGTCAGCTTTGTTGCTGCGGAGGCTTCGGTGTCTCAGCAGGACACCTGGCTCCGTGCGCGCCTTCAGCAGCCTTCCTCCACCACTACCGACGGCTCTGGTCCGCAGCACCTTTTTGGACTTTTTTCGGGAGGAACATGGACACCTGCTGGTTCCGTCCTCTCCTGTCAGGCCCAGAGGGGACCCCAGTCTGCTTTTCGTTAACGCCGGTATGAATCAGGTCAGTCACCCGGTTTGTCCTAGTCCTCTGTCCCGGCGATATAGACGAGGTCAGCGTGACCTAGTCCCCATTCCTTTTCTATCTGGGTCCTTTAACCATATATCTTTGTCTTGTATTTCTACTATTTATTACCATTTTTCGCCATACTACACTAAACAATGTTTATAAAGCAACCATATATCTTTGTCTTGTATTTCTACAATTTATTACCATTTTTTCTCCATACTACACTAAGCAATGTTTATAAAGCAGCGACGTACGGTGAGGTTCATGGCTGATGAGGCACTGACTCATCTGGAGTCAGATTTACAGTTGTAAGAACCGAAAAGAGCATCTTATTTTACTATCCATCCAACAGCATGCACCTGGTAAAGCTTCATATCCATCAGCATTCCTCTTACAATGACACTGGCACCAACACAAACATATACACAGCAACATATTTGTCCTACTTTTATAGAAGTGAACAGAGCACCCTTCTTGTGTCTAAGCAATTCATATTTACTGCAAACATTAAAGTATAGAGATGACTGCCTTACCTTTACTTACAGATGAAGTCTATGGTTGTATCTCTCGGTGGATGCTCATGTACGTTGCTCACCCTTCGACAAATCGATCCTTGATTTTCCAAAAGTTTTTAAAGAAATCTGGCTTTGATTTTTCGTGTCTGCTGAGGCTTCTTTGCAAATGTTTCAGGTCACAGTATCCTGAGTTAGTCCAGACGTTATCACACAATGGTGGTTTCTTACAGGACAGACACACAGCACAGTCTTTTTGGTTTGTACCAGTACATTTGAAAAGAACGACTCCTCTGTCCCGCAGTTCGAAACAAACCGTTTAGCTCCGGTGTTGGTCTTCCATCACTTATCATCTTCTGTTTGAACTGGAAGTCCAGTTTTGAGAAATGTTTCCGTCTTGTAATACAATCCATAGTCAGTTAAATCAGGCAGAGCATAATAAAAAACGCTGTTCTTCACCTACTACTGGCTCTAGTTTGGTGCCGACTTTCTGTATACCTGTTGACGCCAGCTGGAGAGCACCTGTCAGTTCACGTACGACCCCTTGAGGTGAGGCAGAGTCATGTGACCCAGTTTCTCCACTGCCTCACCCGGGTTCTGCCCTGTATTTGATCGCGAAATACTCAAATTCGGCGATTTTTACTTAATAAAATGTCAAAAGTTCATACTGAAAATGCATATCAATATTTATTATACGTACTTTTTTATTTTTTGTCATGATGGCAGGTGAGGAACTGCCTCCCCTGACCGCACGTCACTGTCACAGAGAGAATAACAAATTGTGATGACCTATTGCTGCCTTGATGACTAAGTGTAAATATATTCTTGGGGTTTGAGATCTTTTTTATGTGTCCAAGAACCAAAAACCCTAATTTTCTCCTTTGTCCTTGGAATTGCTTAAGGTAAAAAACAAAACGAGAATATTTCAACTTATCAAAGATGAATAATTTAACCATTGACTCATGTACAGTATTATGTGTTCTTGTCTAGTTCAAGCCCATCTTAACTGGGACTGCGGACCCTCGCAGTGCGATGGCTTCTTACCGCAGAGTTGTCAACAGTCAGAAATGTGTTAGAGCTGGAGGAAAACACAATGACCTGGAGGATGTGGGCAGAGATGTGTACCATCATACCTTCTTTGAGATGCTGGGGAACTGGTCCTTTGGAGACTACTTTAAGGTAAGAAGAGAAAAGAGGGACAAACTTCCTCTCTCTCCTTTCTTATTCTCTAAATACTGTACAAGGGAATGTTTGCATTTCCACCAAAGGAAACATAACTAAATAAGAACTATCAAGTAAACCATATTTTCCTGTTTAAAAACATATTCTACAAATAGTCATTAAACTAAATGATAAATGTGATTTGCAAACTGCTACCGACAAGGGGTCTACTGATAGCCACCAGGGGGCGACTTTGTCTGTCGACTTTGACTGGAGAAGTGTATTTGAATACAGCAGGTCCATTTATGCTACTTCTCTGTGGTCTTAAATACTACTTTATCAAGTTGTTACTTTATCTTTACTGTGGGAAAACAAGTTTTAAAAAACTTGGTTTGACCCTGGTCATATAAAAATGAAATCAAGTTTCACATTCATTGCCTTGTTTTAAAGTTGTAGGAGCCTATGAATTCAGCATAGATCACAACTTTGTTTTTCTACTCGTATTTCTTACTTCAGGAAAAAGCATGCTCTATGGCCTGGAGTCTCCTCACAGAGCATTATGGGATACCTGCTGACAGACTGTACGTGTCATACTTTGCTGGAGACGCAGCATCTGGTTTACCAGCTGATGAAGAGACACGTCAGATCTGGTTGGACATAGGGTACATAGGAATGAAGATGTAGTCCTGGGTAAACCTTCATTGGTTTACCTTATTTTGGTGTTTTTGGTGATGATGACGATGATGATGATGTCACTCTTTCAGAGTGCCTGCTGCTCATCTCCTGCCATTTGGTCTCAAAGAGAACTTCTGGGAGATGGGAGACACTGGGCCCTGTGGACCCTGCACCGAGATCCATTATGACCACGTAGGGGGACGAAACGCTGCCTCACTGGTCAACACTGACGACCCTGAAGTGGTGGAGATCTGGAATCTTGTCTTTATGCAATACAACAGGTAACGTTGGGAATTTATATTTCTGATTTCACATCCAAAAAATTAACTTCGCACTTTTGAAATAGGTGTACAGCCTCTTTGAACTGTGCCTGGAACTTTCATTCAAAATGAGACTGGTTCTTTATTTTCAGGGACATGGACCAGACTCTGTCACTGCTGCCCAAGAGCAGTGTGGACACGGGAATGGGTCTGGAGAGACTGACGGCCGTCCTGCAGGGGAAACGATCCAACTACGACACGGACCTGTTCACACCACTGCTGCATGCCATCCACCAGGTACACCTGTGCACTTATCTCCAAGAGTTTAATGAGAGCAGCATGTTGTCGTCATGTCGACTGTGAGGTTTTCAGAGTGAACTATGTCATGTGTTGTCGGTTCCCAGAGGTCAAAGGTGGCTCCATATGGGGGCAGAACGGGTTCATCTGACCAGCTGAAGGTGGACACTGCGTATCGTGTGGTGGCTGACCACGTGCGAACTATGTGCGTCTGCATTGCTGATGGAATTCATCCAGGAATGTCTGGAGCAGAGTGAGTCACCAACTCAGCAGCCAGAGACTCCGCCCACTTTGTTTATTTGTTCATTTGTTATCTTTTAATTATTGCTAACCTGTTTTGTTTATTTGTTTCTCCACCATCAGGCTGGTGCTACGCAGGATTCTTAGGCGTGCTGTACGTTTCAATGTAGAGATCCTTAAGGCTCCACAGGGGGCGCTGGCAAGCCTGGTTCCTACTGTCACACACATCCTGGTAAGACGTATCCCATCATTCCTCTCATCTGTCTTTGAAAAGAGGTGTTCTCACACAAACCCACCCTCTGGTTTTAGGGAGGTGTGTACCCAGAGCTGCAGAGGGAGGAGGAGCGGGTGAGTTTCTTTGAGGCGTGCACATCATTTCCTGTTGTGCTTCAGAATATGACATCATGAATGACAGCCGCGTCCACGTGCTCTTTCAGATAATTGACATCATCAACGAGAACGAGGCTCACTTCCTGTCGTCCCTGCAGCAGGGCACCCGGCTAATCCACCGCACACTTCGCAAGATGGAGGACAAGGACAGCAGCGTGTTCCCAGGTCAGGGTCGTGTCCACCAGTTTGTCCTTTAGTATTGTCTCTGGGTCTCTGTACGTCCCTATCTTAGTTGTGACCCTCTTCTTTTTGTCTTCCATTGTGTCTCATCTGTCATTTTCAGTATTCTGTTGTATGTCATTACCTTCATGTCCCTCTTTCACCTGTCCCTCTGTCTCCTGTAAGTCCCCCTGTGCGTCTATGGTTCATGTTTTCCTTATCTCCATTTTGTAGTACATTATGTCCCCTGTCATGTCACTCTTTCATGTTTGCGTGAATATTTGATAGAAGTCCGACTATTTTTTACCTCTCTGTCTCCTATGTCTTCTGTCCACGTGGACTTGTCCCTCTCTTTCTTTGTGACTCATGCCTTCTACTGTCTTGTCTTTTCTCATGTATTCTGCCTATTCTGTCTTCCATGTCTCCCAGCCTCAGTGGCCTGGTCTTTGAACAGGGACCTTGGTTTTCCTCTGGACCTGGTGGACCTAATGTTGGATGAGCGAGGAGTCCGTGTCGACCGCCAGGAGCTGGAACGACTCATAGCAGAGAACCTGGAGGTGGCGCTCAATTTTTTCTTTTTCTTTTAGTGCAGTCAGTGTATTTTACAGTATGAAGCAAAAAATATTTACACCTTTAAGAGCTTTACTAGGATGACAAAGGTTATTAACATTTATGCATTTAGCAGAAGCTTTTATCCAAAGTGACAGCGGAGGATTAACATTATCAAGCACTTGGTTCCTCTGGGAATCGAACCCACCCTCTGCTTCCAAGGCAGGCATGCTAACCGCTACACTGTAATACCACATATATGTAATACTTGATATTTTGGTTGTAGGTGGTTTCAGACCAGCCTGCAGATGCTCAGCCTGGTTTAACCCTGGATGTGAGCAGCTTGGTGGCGCTGCAGCGCAGCGGTGTCCCTCACACTGACGACAGCATGAAGTACCAGTACAGACTGAAGGAGGACGGATACGGTACGGTTCAGTCTGTCTCTGTCGTCACTGGTTACAGCTCTCAACATCTGCCACGGCCTCTAACCGCAGCACATTTCCTCACAGTTTTCCCAAAGTGCTCAGCCACGGTGGTGGCTCTGTTCAATGGCCAGGCGCTGGTGTCAGAGGTCACAGAAGGTCAACGCTGCGGCGTTATTTTGGACCAGACTTGTTTCTACGCAGAACAGGGCGGCCAGTCACATGACCGGGGTTACTTCCTTCGTGATGGGCTGCAGGTCAGCAGCTAATTGTTAGGCAAATGTATCCATCCAAAAGATAGTGATAAATTCCCTGCACGGTTGCAGTGAGTGACCTGGGTGAATTGTGTGACTGCAGTTGTTTCCTGACATTAGGATGTGCCGTTCCCAGTGGAGAACGTGGTGGTAGCAGGTGGATATGTGGTTCATCACGTCACTGCCACTGATCACCTGAAGGTTGGAGACCAAGTCCAGCTGCACCTGGACCAGGTACTGTATGTGACTGGGTTATATATATAGAAATTCCACCAGGGGGAGCTACATTTTCTGTTCTTGTCAGGATCTCATTATTATAACCTTCCACACTATTTTTTGTTACAGCACAAAATAATGTAGTTTTATTTGGATAAAAGTTCAGTTTAAAAGAGTTAAAAAAAGGAATTACTCCAGTAGAAAAAATGTCTGGATTTACATTTATCAAAACATAAAAATAAATCTTGATTATGTCGCCTGTTTTCTCT